TAAATTAACAAACACTTTAATAAGAAGTAGGCATATCAAATATAGATACACCTATATTTCACACTTACATTCACTACATATACGGTCATAATAGTACATTGGTTGGTATACATTTACAGTGCATGAAAATCAAAAAAAAAAATTTTTGAATTTTAATGTTAAATTCTGTATAACAAATTGACATGTGATAATCATGTGTTTGTTCCTACATTTAATAATTTCAGATACTAAATATTCAAAATCAAACTAAATTATTGCAGTTTGAAGATTTAAACTTTGTGGGCACCTTAGATTGCATACACTATACTTACCTTTCAATTTCATCATTTGCATTATTTGTATTAATGTTTGATTTTCCTTTTTTTTTGCAAGTTTTGCTATTATGACCCTGTTTATTGCATATCTTGCATTTGTAACTTGTTTTTGTATCAGACTTCTCAAAAGCATTTGCAATTCTTTTTGATTTTGGACGACCTTTAGATCTTTTTTTAACAGGATTTCGAATACTTATCATACAACTATTATTGTTAATCTTATGGCTAAAGTTACCAACATCACTAACTCCACTAATAACTCTCTGCAGTGATGTTCTATTCTGGATAGATGTAAAAACCCCAAGAAGTTCATAGTAAATATCTTCATTACTATCCTCAATTGCATTGACCATTATTTTTTTTCCTAATCCCCAAAGTTCACTGAATTTGTGCTTTTTCGAAATAGCCTTAGATATTTCATCAGGTGACTGGTTTGAACCACAATTTGCAAATTCTTCAGCTCCATTAACATCAAATTCGCTACGCAAAAATTGTGTTGGCAAAATATATGCTTTTGATGTTGATATACATATGTCCGAAGAAATGACTATGAATTCATTATTTGTTATATCAGTTTCTTGCAAAATATCTTTGTACCAGCGCCTATTGACTAAACCGATATGGAATCTTGCATTGGGAGTTAGGGTCATAATATGATAAAAGTAACGGCACAGGTATCCATAAGACTTTCCGAGCATACAAGTCAAATAAAGGTGCCATCGTTCAAAAGATGTACAAAATGAGAAGTGCCAGAACTTAATAAGTGCGTAACTTCTCAGGATTCAAGAATTATTGAAAAATCATTTAGAAATGATTTCAGCTGTATTTGTGAGCAGTCAAACAAATTATCAATGCATTGTTCAGATTCATCAACTTCCTAACATAATAACTGATTAAGAAAAATAATGATTAGTAATATAGACAAATAATTAAAGCTTATGTCTATGATTGCTATAAAACATGCTACACTATAAATTCTCAAAATAGTGGGCATGAGCATTATTTCGAATTTTGGCCCGAATTAGGGCCGAAATTTGAAATAACGCCAATGCTGTTAGGGACAATGCTAAAACTTAGGTCTTGATTTAAAATATAAATCATACTAATTCTACCTATACACTTTTATTATAAATACTAACCCTAAATTCTAATCTAACTCTAAAAAAACTCTTTCAGCATCATTCCTGATAATTATTAACATGATTATAATAAAAATCTTACCCTCTCTTTAAAAAACACAGCTTCAAGATCAATCTTCACGGCATGGTAATAAAAACTCAAATTCATTTGTTTCTTCTGTTTTTTCATTATGTTTGGCATTACAAACTCATTTAATTGTCGTATGACTGGCTCAAAAATAGCCTTTGCCCCATTTTTTGGTCCTATTTGTGGAATCATCTGCTTCCAGCTTACAAACTTACAATAATCAGTTTCTTCTTGGTATCTTTCTTCTAAGGCCTCAAACAGCTCACATAACGAAAGGCTTGAACTTCCAAAAAGGTGTTTTAATGTTGAGTTCTCACCTTCGTTTCGAGAGGTTGATTGTACACCAGCTGTAAAATATCTGCTACTAAATGCACGAGCCCATGACTTAGTACAACAGCCTAAGGATCTTATTAAATAGTCACTGGATTGTGGATAATCTTGCAATAATTTCTCCTATCTTTGAATAAGTAAAAATAATTAGAATAGAGTAATAATATTCTTACATGCTGTAACTATAGCAAATAATATAGTAAGTTACAGTTATAATACTGTAACTTACTATATTACTTGCTATAGTTATAGCAAGTTATAGCATGAATGATTATCATTGGAATGATTTACTTGCATCTCTAGTCATTACTACCTACCTCTTATTAAATTTTTCCTCTGTTAAACTGTTTCTCATGATATAAAAATCTTTAATAAAATTATCATAATAAAAACCAATTACTCCTTTTAAATTTTTTGGTAAATTTTGGCTTATGTGCCAAATACAATGTATATAAAATGTATTGGGAAATTGTGTTGCAACAGCACCATTGACTGCTGGGTTACCATCCATTACAAAGACTTTTGGTGCGAATCCAGTTGCTTCTACAACACATTTAAAAACCCATTCATAGAAGGATTGTGTTTCGTCATCAACAATGGCTTGGGCCACAATCCGTGTTTTCAAATTATTATCAGGCGTAACAAAAATAGACAAAGGGCGATTATATCGATTAGTTTTGCATGTATTATCATGCATTATTACATCATAGTATCGTAACCATAAAATTTGTTGCTCTGGGCTCATTCAGAAAAGGTGAGTTAAAGAAGAAGTGACTGGGTCAAATTCCATTAAAACAAACCATTGAGGGTCTTCAATTTTTTTTTCATTAAGCCTTTTCAGTAACATTCCTGCATCATCTTCACCTGGTTCAGAATCATGCCGAAACATCTGAATTGTTTTGTACAAATCCGGTCAGTATATTCTAACATTATACTTTTCTCTGATTATTCTATACTGCATGGTCGCATTTGCCTTTGCAACTGTTGTCAAAAAACAAATTTCTTTGACAATTTCTTTTGATAACTTGCATAACGTTGGATCAAACTGTCTTGCTAGTGGATTAAGTTTATGCCCAACATGCTGGTTATTAAAAGTTGTGACTTCGATGCAATTTTTATCATTCTTGAACCAAAAATTGACTTTTCACAGGCACTCTATTCGGCAAGATGCCCTACTCGAGTTTGCTGGCTTTCCAGCATTGTGACACAAATACATCCGTTTTATTATTTCTCTTGTTTTTAAATTTACTTACCTACCACCACTGATTCGTATTCTATGGTCTTTAATAATAGCATATTTTTTCATGAAGTCCACCACTTGATCCCAATTTTTAAAAGTTTTGCCAACAGAGGATCCTTCGATATCATCAAAACTAAAGCAAAAATAGTAATGAGAAAAAAAGAGGTCAACAGTAAAATAAAACATAAGGCATCACATTACTTACTTATCGATATCGATATCAGAGAGATCATCTATGCTATTATATGCTACTAACACTTCAAGCTCTATATCTTAATTTTCCAATGCCTCAGGTTCTGCGTTTTGATCATTTGACACTTCAGGTTCTATATTTTGGTTGTTCAAAACTTCAAGTTCCATGTCTTGGTAGTTTGAATCATTCATATTTAAGTTTTTTTATTATTGCCGAAGGTAATACCATCAGCTAAAACGTAAGATGAATTTTTGCTTTAAACAAAAAAGGGGTTTATTCCTTTTTTATTCTTGTTTTGCTGCAGGATTTTTTTTTTATTTTTTTTTTTATTTCTCACTTCGCTTGCCGTTTCACTGTAGGATCTTTTTTTTTTTTTTTATTTCTCACTTCGTTTGTTGTTTCACTGCAGAATTTAGTTTTTTTTTTTTTTTTTATTTCTCACTTCGTTTACTGTTTACCATAGGATTTTTTTATTTCTTATTTGCTATTTTACTACAGGATTTGTTTTTCCTTTTTTTTTTTATTTCTCACTTCGTTTGCTGTTTAAGATTTTTGTTCCCTTGCTTTTTTTTTCACTTCTTACTTTTAGTTTTTCCTTTCACTTCACTTTTGTTTCGTTACTCTTATTTTATTGCATAGTAGAAATTTCATCAAGATAAAAAATACTTTCAGAACACAATCAGAAAACATACTGTTTGCCAACATATATGCCAAGCAAAAATAAGTAATTATCATACAGTGTGAACTCAAATACCTGGGTACAATATATTCTGCCGTTAAAGTCATAAGGGGTATATATAATAGTAGGAGAGTCTTTTGGTTTACACTATATGCACTAGAGTTCGTGGCAGCCACCACACTGCATAAAAATTATTGAATCGTTTTGCTCTTGCAGCTTTATTATTGTGAAATTTCTTAAAATGAAACATGTAACAAAGCAATATACTGATATGATAGTGAACTCTATATATGCTATGTGCTATATGCTAAGTAACAATATAAAGTCTAAAAATGATTGGTTAATCTTAAAAGGGTCGCATAACGACGGGTCACTGATTTATTTTTGCCAATATATTTATTATATAGCTAAAATATTTTAATTATATATTAAATATATTTAAAATATATAATAATTATATAGTTAC